AAGTGAAAACTCTGGTACTTTGACTTACTATTCCTAAATGCTGATATATTTTAAATGTACTGTTTCCCATGGTACTCAAGAGATGCCTTAGCATGAGTTTATAAGGACTGCAAGAATATATTTCCATGATTTAATAAAGTTTAGTAATAAATTATATCATCACAATATTAATAATGACAACCTACCAGGGCACTGCAGAGAGAACACTGCTTCTTTCTTTCATAAGGGGTAAGTTTGGGGGCATAATCAGTATTTGCGTGTCGTCCACTGCTTAACTCGGCAGCTTTCTCTTTTCTTTGTTCAATCTGTTCCATGTGCCTTCGGATGCTTTCATCATGCTGCAAATAAAGTCAAAGTGCAAGAATATTAAAAATTATTCAAATTATACTGAAAATTTGGAAAAATACTATTTCTATTATGCTTTCTAAAATAATAGGCTACTGTCTTATTTCAGTGTTAATTTGCACACTGAGGACAAGAATTTATATAAAGCCCTTTAATATCTCCCACATGCATAGTAATGTTTCCTAAAGAATCTCCATGGAACTACTCCATGGGACATTAATATTACCATATTCTTATGCAAATAACGTGCGCCTTCTATCTTTGTTTACCAATGGCACCCTCCTTCTTTGAGGTATTTTCATAAATGTAGCTGTGCCAATTTTTTTTACATGTTGTTGTAAAAAAAATTAGCATAGGGAGCTTACAAAAATACCTTGCGGGGGCGGGGGGGAGGGTGTGGTTGGCAAATGTAGAAGGCACATGTTATTTGCCTAAAAATACGGTAACAGGTCTTTAGTGGAAGAAATTCCATGGTGAAATAAATTTTGAAAACAGTAAGTTAAAGCTAAACAGGTTTTTAACACAGAAGTTTATAGAGCCTCTACTATGTCACTGTGCACTATGATTCAATAAACCTAATTTACAGTAAAAGCAGCATTTCACAAACTTATTTGACTACAACATACCTTTAAGAAATATTTCTTGGAACACAATATGGGAAATGTCAACCCGTAAGTAAAGTCCAAGATTATCTACATGGCAGAAAAGGCCCACCATGACAGAGACCTCTCCCTACTCCCAACCCCTTTTCTAGTCACCTCCACTGACTGTCCCATAAAAGAAAACTGCTATTTCACACTTTTGCCCTCGTGCTCATACAATGTCATATGGCTGGAATAACATCCCACCAACCCATTCCCCTGGTTAACTTCAACTCCTTACAAGATTCAGCTCAGGAATTACTCACCAAAATTCTTACCCTGATCTCTGATCTCCCCTCCCCTCCCTCCTCTGTGCTCCCATAGCATTGAAATTAAGTGAGACAAATAATAATATTCTTTAGTTTACTTCTAAATGATTAATATCTATGAATGCCAGAAGTCTAGCAGTAATGCCTTCAAGTTATTAATGAACTGCTTAGCAAGAACAGGAACTGTTCAATTTCCTTTTATTGTTTTTCCTCAATGACTTTATCTTATTAAAATCAATATATTTAGTTTTTAGGTAGTTAAGTTAGAAATGGTCATGGCCAAATCATATGAGACTTATTGTCCAAAGATTAGGAATACAAATTAATTCAATTTTTATTCCATAGATAAAATTTTAATCTCATGCTCCACTGCAAGCTCTAAAATTTCAAATAAAAATATATAATATCCCTACCTTGAGCTGAATTTTTTTTTGTAGCTCCTCCATAGCTTCTTGTTGAGCTGCAGTGAGTGCTGCCAATCGTTCTTCCCTGTCCCTGTAAGAAGACAGGGAAACTTATAAAATCAACTGCTTGGAGTAACAAATGGAGCAGAACTTTCATGAGGTTAAAAAATGCAATTAGGACACATAGGCTTATATATTCTAAAGTGTAAATATTTTAAAAATTTATTTTCTGAGTGCTATATAATATATTTTCATAAGCACACTATGCTAATTCTTTTTACAGCATCATGTAAAAAAAAAAAAACCTGGCATAGTGGTGCTTATGAAAATACCTCACAGGGGGAGGGCGTGATTGGCAAACAAATGTAGAAGGTGTGCATTATTTACACAAAAATATGGTAGTCAGATTTATATACCACTCTTCTAAGAACCATCATGGAAAATTCCTCTCTTGGGTAGTCTACGATAAAAGATCTACAGAAAGACATTTGGGAGTCTCCCTAAATACACCCAGTTCCCCACAGATCACTCTGGAGTGAGTCATTTTATTCAACAAGTCTTGCCCACAAAATTAGAGCTATCAGATTTTGAGAGCTTGATTCTTAAAAAGAACAAATAGCCAACAACTAGATATTTGAGGAAAATTTGTAACATGAAGACAGAGACCAAAATGAACACATAAAAGTGATACATACAAAAGAAAGAAAATGTAAGAAGTAGAAGAAAATTTCAAAACAACTATTAATCAATATTCTCAGGGATATTAATATTGCACCATGAAACAAACACAGAATGCTATTTTTTTAAAAAATCAGAGAAAAGAGCATTAATAAATTTAAAATATATAATAAGAAATTTTAAATCAACAGATGAGTTGAAAAGTAGGCTGAGAGTCTTCTGGAAAGTAAAATAAAAATACGTGAAAGTATAAAATAGAAAGTGAAAGGATAAGAAAATTAGAAGATTAATTCAGGAGGTCCAACAACTGCTAAAAACAAACAAACAAAAAAGTTCCAGAAAAGAGAATGGAAAAAAATAGAGCAGAGGAAATTAAAAGAATAAAAAAATTTAAAATTATTTCATGGAACTAAAAGGCTTGAGCGTCCAGGTTGAAAATGCCCTCCATCATCATAATGAATATAAACATAAAGATATATATCATGAAATTTCAAAACATCTAGAATAAAGAGGTTACTAAAGATGAAAAACAAGTTGTATATAAAGAATCAGGAATTATAAAATTGGACTTCTCAACAGTAACACTAGAAGCTAGAAGACAATAGAAGAATGCCTTCAAAATTTTGAGGGGAAATGATTTCAAACCTAGAATTCTATGCCTCATCGAGTAGGGGGTAGAACATGGCATTTTCAGCTCATTTGCTCTGTATCAAAAAAATGAGCTCCCATGAATGGTTTCCCTGCAAGCTACTCAAGAATATGCTCCAGCAAAATGAGTGTTCATTAAGGAAAATAAATAAATGGACACCCAGAACCAAACATTTCAACACATGAGAAGGTGAAAAGAAGTTCTAGAATAACAACTGTGCAAAAGACCTAAAGAACAACCAATCCAGCCCAAAGTAAAAGGACAGAAGGATTCAGAGGGATGTCTCCAAGAAGAAAACTAGACTGACAGAATGTCAAATATTTTTGAGTGTGGTTAGAGATTTTCACTTCTCTTTAAATGTTTGGGGATGAATCAGTGAGTAGGAGGACTCAAGATTTATTACAGTGACACGGTCAGGTTACACAGGTCGGTAAGGAAAAAGACACATCAGGTGGAATGTGGATGAATCCATGTGCAGGCTTACTATACTCACCCAAAGTGCCCATACACAGTGCATCTCCCTCCAGTAGTGAAATGAAGTAACGTGTGTAGTGTTTCTGCCTTGGGAAGTCCATTGAGACTCAGAAACAAAGATTTTTTTGGAAGCTGATCAAACAGGACCTTCTGCCTATCCACAACTACCAAAATTCCACACTCCCAGAAGAAAAGCAGTGTTCATCACAAACCACTGATATGTACAAACAGTCTAGGCACAAGACAACAACCTTATCAGTTAGTAACAGAGGGACCATTTCAAAAGCCAAGTTCCAAGGCAACAGTCAATGGCCCAGTAAGCCAGCCCTTCCAAAGATCAGGCCTACAATGTTAACTCTTTCTTGCACAAAAACAAATGGGGAAACCAAGAGCTCTGCTTGCCAGAGGTTAAGTTCCCAGTTGGGAAGCACAGCAGACTAGCCAAAAATTTAAAAGGAAGATCCTAAAAATGACAGAACCCTAGGAGAGCTATATAATCTCCACATATCCCAGACTGACTGAAAAACTAACACATACACAGGAAAGACCAGAGAGAACTCAGTGAAAAATGAATACCAAGCACATTTGAGAACTGGCTGCACTTCAAATATACTCTCCAACCCACACACAGATCTATCAGCAGAGGGTAGAAGTCTTATAGGCTGAAGGTATCTGAGCACAACATCTGCCTAAATCACTGGCTGATGACTAAGTTATGCAGAACTGGGGAAAGTCCCCAGAATGCCAAGTACAATAATAAAAATAAGAAAATAAACAAAGCAGAGACATCAACAGCAACATACCGTGGGATAGATAGGTTCTGCAGTTTAAGTCAAGGCAAGTCATTTAAAAATATACAACTTGCTAAAATATATTATCTAAAATGTCCTTTTCTCAATAAAAAAATTATGAAACACACAAAGAATGTGACCATACTTAGGAAACAAAGCAGTCAATTGAGACTGGCTCTGGTCCATTTGCCAAGATAATTAAATTATGATGACAATGATTCAACAAACAAGGCATCTGAATAGAAAAACAGAAATTTTTTTTTTTTTTTAATTTTAATAAAAGGAACTGGGACTCCTTGAAGAAATGGCTGATCCTAGGGAAACACAAGACAAATCTGGAGGATCTTGTAGCGCCAGAAAGTAAGAAGTGCTCAAAAAACAAAATGACAGGGGTATGTCAAAGGGACACAAGAGGAACAAGGTGAGCAACAAAATAAATAATATAGTATTGGATTATAAACAAAAGTATAAAATAAATGAATCCATACTGATATAAATAAATAAATTAGGGAGAACAGAAAAAGGTCCTGTATATAAGAATTCCAAATAATTTATGTAGGTACTCCACTTTCAAGGAGGTGGAGCATGACTCTTCACTCCTTAGGTCTGAGCTGTGCTTAGTGGCTTGTTTCCAAAATGTATAGTACAGAAAAGGGAAACTGAAAAACATAACTTCACAATGGAGAAACCTGGCAAATACTACCTTGGCCAGATGATCTAGGTTAACAACATCAGTGGTCGTCCAATCGATAGCATATACCCTTGACATGTTATGTTAAGAATGGTACTTCACCTCTGTGATCTTCCTCCCCAAAACCCATAACTGCAGTCTAACAGTGAAAAGTAATCAGACAAATCCTAACTGAGGAACATTCTACAAAATACCTGCCTACGACTCCTCAAAACTGACAAGGTCACCAAAAACAAGGAAAATCTGAGAAACTGTAATAGCCCAGAGAAGCATAAAGAGACATGACAATTAAATATCTGAAGAAATAACTGCCAAACACTTCCCAAATCTGATGAAAAGATTAATGTACAGAGATACAAGAAGCTCAATGAATCTCAAGTAGAATAAACACAAAGACAACAAACCTACACAAGTAATAGTCAAACTGGCAAAAGACAGACAAAGAGAAAATCTTGAAAGCAGCAAGAAAAACACAACTCAGCATGTACAGGGTAAAAAAACAATATGAGGAATGGCTGACTTTTCATCAGAAACAACAGAAATCATAAGATTCAAAATACTGAAGGAAAAAAAAACTGTACCAAGAACTCTACATATAGCAAAACTAGCCTTCAAAAATGAAGGTAAAATAAAGATATTCCCAAAGAAGCAAATATCAAGATAATCCACTGAAAGCAAAACTCACTTATAAGAAATACTAAGGGAAATTCTTAGGCTAAAAGGTAATGGTGCCAGAGGATAATTCAAATCCACAGAAAGAAATAAAATACACCAGAACGGGTAAATATATGAATAAATATAAAACAAAAAAACAAACCCATTGCTGCATGTATAAATATATTTTCTCTTTTTTCCCCACTCTTTTAATAAATAAAAGGTTGCATTAAAAAATAATCATAACACTATATTGCTGAGTTTATGACATAGGTAGATGTAATATACATGACAATAATAGGACAAAAGGGAAGGAACTAGAGCTATATGAACAAAGTTGCTATATCTTACTGGAATTAAGTTAGTATTAACCTGAAATAGGCTGTGATAAATCAAGATGCATATTGTAATCCAGAGAGCAACTACTAAGCAAATAACTAAAATAATATAGTTAAAAAATCAATAGAGAAATTAAAATGATACACCAAAAAAATATTTGCTTAACAAAAAAGAAAGCAGTAAGGGAGAACAAAAGACTTGCGTCAAGAAGACTACCAAAGACACAAGGAAAGTATTAGCCCAAGAGACAGAATGGGCCACGTACACCAGACACTTCATCAGCCTGAGACCAGAAGAACTGGATGGTGCCCAGCTACCACCAATGAACAGCCTGACAAGGAACACAACAGAGTGTCCCTAACGGAGCAGTAGAGTGATGGGATGCAGAACTC